GCCTGGGAAGCGCCACCTGGCCCGGGTGTCAGTTCGCGAGTGGCACTTCGCCATCATTTGTTTGTGGTTTCTCCCCCACCGCCAACGAGCGTGCAGGGGAAACGCAGGGCGCTCGCCCCCCCAGCACGGCTTTCATCTGTTTTTCACGTCAAGTAACTGTTGCGAGGGGGGTCTGTGCTAATGAATGAGCTTCGGACGTGTCCCCGGCTGAGTTTTGCCCGTCCGCTGTTGCCAAGTCGGCCACAGTGTTATTGTAAACTTTTTTGGGGGTGTGGACACTTCATTTTTCCTACACTCAGTGTCCCAAGACCTAAAAATATCTTCAGCCGTAACTCCTACTCTGTGCTACTGCACTGCTAGGATCCTCTGCCCTCTGTTGAAAAGGCACTGGAATGAAGTTAGGAGAGGGGTTTAAGCTTGTAAAAAGAAAAACCCCGAAAGCCGATCAGGCCCTTTCTCTTTCTGTGTGAGAACAGGAAGTCAGATCTCAAAGCTAAGAGGGAAATTTAGAGAAAGGGGGAAGGGAAGAGAGCGTTCTTTGCATAGGCACGGCCAGCTTAACTAAGGAGGAGCTGAGTGATGGTCACTACCCCTGCAGGGTCAGGCCTGTATTTCCCCGATTTTGAAACTATGGAGGCATGGGGTCAGTGTTGGGTTGTAAGTGACATCATGTGACTTTCCAAGCTTTCAAAGGAGACAGAGATTTAAGATAAGGCTTGAAATTCACTGGGATGCGGTAGGGTCCAGTCTGGTCTTCATAAGGCCTGCGTATTTCCAGCCTCATCCAGGAGTGCCTATACGGGATGTTTGTGTCTTTACCTCTACGTAATATGTACACTAGATACATTTCTATGCCTTTTCTTCCCAAGATTGCGTTTCTTAATAAAGTCATGCATAGAGTTCCAAGAAAAGATGTATGAAAACTTAAGATAGCATCTTAAAGATGCAGGGGTCACTTGTTTAGGAGGATTGTGGAGTGTAAATTGCCCTTGAAATAAACCCAAGTTTTATGGAAACGGCAGTGGTTCTTGTCCTTCTGTGACCTGTATGGTTGTACTCCCAAGTCAGATTTTCAAGTGGTTCCTTGTGTTTGCAGGCAAAAATGTTTCAGCACTTTTCATTGATATAACAATGTGCCTGTTTACTATTTCATGCAGAATTATGTATGCAAACAATGAACAGCCTTTAATGTTATCTGTAAACATACACGTTCTTGAAACCTAAGATATTATATGATCGAAATACAAGCCTAAAACTAGATACATACTTTATTTTGGTCTCTTTTACCTTTATTATTAAAGACATTAATTTAGCCACGTATGTAATGTTTTAAAACAACTTTGTAGGAAATAATCGTATAGAACAGATGCAAGTTAAGTTTTTTTTAATTGTGAAATACTCCACTGTAAAGTCACACTGATATTTTGATTACTTATATTTACTTACAATTTTCCAAATGAAATGGTAAAGCTCATTTGGCATTTGATAGTTTACATTTTAATACATTTTAATGTGTAATAGTTGATAACAGTTATGATTTTTTTCTCCTTTACTTTTTGGTGGGCACACCGGTATGTGGTGGTAGATTACTGCATAGCTGCAGACTGTTACGTAGTTTGAGCGGTTTTACGCTTGTGCTGAAATCATAATGCAAACGTAACTCCCCAACAAAGAAACAAGACTTTTGGTAGTCTGGACAGATTATTCAAGGAGCACTATAATGGTGTTCTCTGCAATCCACGTTTAGCAGAAAAAAAAAAAAGTCACTTACTGAGCAGTCTCTGGTGTACGTATTAAGTGGGAGGGTTATTTCTTTCATCGCCTTAGCTACAGGGAGTTAATTGTCCTTTAAATCTCTCCTCCTTTCCCGTGCAGTGTAAATTTTACCACTCGATCATCTTGTATTTACTTCACCCTTGTGCTTTCTTTTAGGCAACCTACCCAAGCATGCAGCACTGCCCCTGAGTCAGCACTTGAGCTGAAGCAGATCAGTCATTGTCCCAGCCTTTCAAATCTTACCCAGGTCACGATGGTGCCGTTGGGACACTTAGCCAAAGGGGCCACTCTGGAGGAACTTCTTGAAACCTGCATTCAGTCTTTTGGTGAGTGTCTGAAGGTTTTTAGAATAGTATTAATTTATTTCTGTCCTGGCTATGTTTATGGTTGCTTACGAGTGAATTACATTGATTTATTAGTGGAACAGAAAGACGTTAACTGAGAATTTCCTATATTGTAGGTGGCTGCATATTTTTATAGGTTTGTGGATCTGTTTATGGATATGTGTATAATAACATATGCTAAGAGATTAGTGTGACTACTGCTTTTTCTTGAGAGAATAAGACAAACATCTGTCACTTATACTTCTATGTGTGTGTTTTGTTGTTCCTTCAAGTACCAATTTGCTAAACTTTAGCAAATAATTATTTTATTTTGCATATTGCAGTAATATTCTCATAACGTGTGTAAATGATGTGTTTATATTAAATGTTTTGAAATGAGCAGGTGAAATAACACGGGATTACTTCTTGCATTATCAGTATAGATTTAAAGTTGCTCCTCTACAAAAGTGAAAGAAATCAAACAAAAATAATGACTGTATAACTTTTTGAGCCTATCAGTTATCCATTTGTGTTTACAATAAAATCTGTAATATATGGACAAGCATGACTGTTACCTGAACACTATATCTCTAGTTTCCTTTTCCAACCTTTCCATCAGTAAATTTGTTTGTGTTTTCATAGTATTCAAATGTGTTAGTACTGAAGGCACTCAAAATGATTCTGAAAAATTTGCTTGAAGTAGTGCATCTGTTTGTTAATGCTGTGTCTTTCAGTGCTATGAGCTGTTCCCAACGCGTATGTGGCAAAGTCTTAGTTGCAGAATAGTCCTTAGAAAATAAATGTACTTTAACACCCACTAAGCTCTAAAATAATTAATCTATATAGTTAAATAGTAACACATAGGGCTGATCTAGTGATACAGCACGTAAATACTGTATAAACAATGACTAATCTTTCACATCACTGGGAATGCCTTTTTTAAAAATTTTTTTAACTTTAAACATTTCTAATCAGCTTGTGCAGAGAAATGCACACCTGAGAAAAGTTCATGAAACATGTAATTGTCCATAACATTTTGTTTCTTTTTGACTTCTTTTCTCCTCCATTTAACTATTATAAAGAACATATCCACTGAACTGCTATAGAACCCTATTTCTTAAACAAATGTTGATTCATATTGTTATAAGTTTTGCTTCACTGGGAGTGAGATAAGACATGTAAAACATGAATAAGACCTTCATACAGTTTTAATATTGTGACTACTTGACCAATATTAGCATGCCCACATTTTAATGAAAAAATGTATTATAAATGTAACATTATAAAAATACAGTAAAATTATTACAGTCATAGATTTCAAGTAGTGTAGGTGAAGCCCTGAATGGGAGGTTATTGTTGCCTTAATTATTTTAATACTTTTTAATACTCTATCAGTATACACGTGACTGTGGGTTCTCAGATTCCTGGGCATCCATATATTATAAGGACTAAGATGACAAAGAAAAGCAAGTGTACCTCTCCAGTTCAGCTATATATGCATGTGAAACTTTCTGAAGGGTTTCATACTTACGTTAGAAAATTTACCATAATCCACTAAATAGGATTTTCCTGAACCTTCACAAGGGGCACTTAGGCCTAACAAAGTGAATTGTAGTGCATGTGCTAAGATAATCTTAAACTCAGTAAGGACTGCTAGAAGTATGGTGCGTGCTGCGGAAGCTTAGACTCTTCGTTGGGCAATTCATAGCGGTGTGTGTATTTGTACATCTTCTACGACATTATGCACGTTCTTAAGCAACGTTGGAATTTCCCAGTAGGGTATTTAAATTAATTGTAAAGTGCAACTTACAACTACAGATAACCTACATAATGAAGTTCCTCCGTTCCTTAAAGAAGGCTCCTGTAGCTACCAACAAGAACACTGTGCAAAATGCATTCAGATCATCATGTCAATAAAGGAAGAGATGGAAAAACCTTTAATTTGGGTGTTTGAGGAGGGATGAGGGTAGGGAGAAAAATAGTGGGGAAAAAAGCATAGTTGCTGAATGTTTACAAGTAAACTGAGTGAGCGAGCAAGTTTCTTCCCAGGAATAGTACTAAAGTAAAGCTATTACCCTGTACTCTAGTGTATCTGTTCAGACTGAGGTTATATCTTCAGTCTCAGATATGCTGACCTATAATAGCTTGTATATTATTCTAGAAATTCATTCTTGTGATCTGAGCAAGCTTTATTTGAATCTTAAAAATACAGAAACTCCCAAGACATAAGCAGAGATTTCCTTTGTGTATTTTAAGTTTACTTTCTGAAATAAGCCTTTGATTGATTTACAGTCTAGGGTTAAGAGAAACAATAGGCAGTAGCTAGAGATGCTGATGTGTCACGTTTCAGAATATATACTGCATCATGTTACTATTATACTGCACTGGCAAATATTACTTGGACAATTACGAATACAATTCCTACATGAAGTATGCAGCTGAATTTATGTTCCTGGACTCAATTATACAAGTTTGGAAAAAGAAAATAATGTGTAACAGAGGCTGCTGTCAACAGTGGTCTGTAAGGGGAAGTTGGCAGCTTTTTGCCATATATGCAGAGAATATTACTAGAAGGTCTAACCAAGAAGGTATTAAGAATAAATGCACACATAAAACTGTGAAGAACAGAAGTATAAGTTATTTATCTTACAGTATGAATAAGGGGAAAAAATGAGAAAGGGGGATGTGCTAAGTTGAAGTTAAGAGTGAGAAGGCTAATCTTTGCCACAGTGTTGTAAATGGATCCTGGGATGTTTTGTAGAAAGAGAAGTTTTATCCAGAGAGCCAAGTTAGTCCAAAACTTAAGCTGAGGAGGAGAGGAACAAAGATTGGATCTTGGAGTTAGTGATATTGTCTGTGGGTCTACAACAGCACTGGGTAGAAGATCATGCTAGAATGTGGACAGAATAGTGTGAATTACAGCGGTGGTGTTGTACCTGGTAATTCTAAAAGCAGAGTTAGGAGTCTTTTTTTTTTTTTTTCCTTCTTAGAAAACACCAGAAGCTTATTGAGTGTAATTAACTTAAACATATACTTTGGAATGATTACTGTGTGCTCTTTCACCTCTCAAATTTGGTCTTCTTTAGCTTGAACTGATGAATGATAAGCATGTGCCTTAGGGACAGAAACAATGAGGATCATATGAGGTAGTGTGAAGTCATGTAGATGATCACTGCATGTGAGAGATAGCATTACACCAGTGTTTACTGAATAGCATGATGAGAAGGAGATGCTGAAAATAGAGGTTTCTTCAAATCCCGTGAAAGGTTGCATCAAGATGAGTAAGATGAATCATCCTGCAATTGAATTGCCAAAAGTAAAGGCAACAGAAAAGCCAGAATGTAAACTAGAGCAAGAGTTCAGGATAAATAGCATGATGGAGAGTGAAGGCGGGAAGTGTCTTAAAAAGGAATATTGATCCTGAGATAAGGAGGAGATTTGTAGAGACTTGATACTGCTCTCATGAGTTTAAAAAAGAAGAGTTATACAGGACAGGTTATCTAGGACAGTGATTCAAAACATATCCTACATGACTTGGAAGATCTCTCAACATTCTAAGTAGCTACAGGATACTGTTACTGCTATGAGACAAAAAAGGCTCTAGAGCGCAAGCAAATGCATCGCATGTGATTGCCTTAGAAAAGAAAGGGAAGTGCAGCAGATAGGTGGAGCTGACAATAACTTTTAAAGATGAAAAAGTGGTCGTGTGGAAAGAGAAGTCACAATAGGGAAGTGGAGGAAAAGAAAAATCAAAGGCGGGAGGAGAGTGCATAGAGAGGAAGAGCAGGAGTAAGGTAAAATGGTTGAAAAGTCTAGAAAATACAGAGGCTGTAGGAAGGTTAGATTCAGTGAAAGCTCTCCTTCAGAGAGGTTAATTCTGAACAGAAAGGTCATGAAGAGAAAATTAAAGGTAAATGTTTAATTGGCAATAAGATGGCTGAAATTCTGAGTTTAGGGAAGCAAAGAAGTAATTAATAGATCTTGTCTTGGAATACGACAGCTTCGGGAGAGATGTAATTTATTCTTGAGCATTAGTGACTGTGATTCTGGAGTGGAATTGTAAGTAGAACAGTGGCTTTAACCCCCTGCATCCATGCTTTTCCATTATGTAGTATATAAAAAGCCTGGAAAAGAATGTACTTTTGACTGGCAGACAGTTCTCTGAAAGTCAGTATGGCTTTTGTCTCCTACTTTGTTGCCAGTTGTAAAGACTATCAGCTTTGTTGTTGAAATCAACAGAGTAGGTTCTAGTTGACTATATTGACTCCTTAACGCTGACAGTTCAGTAGAAGACAGGAAGCATATGCTTAGTAGCACAGCCCTACTTTTGCTAGTTCTTACAGTAATCTTTGTGAGGCGTGCATAAATGCATGTTAACATGTATTTAGTTCAGAAAGTGTTACAGATCAGCGAAAAAAATATATCAGCAGCGTTCACTTCACTGGATATCTTAATTTGTTAACTGTATGTCTGCTAACTATAGAAATGAAATAATAATTGTTCATAACACTTTTCACCCTAGGCTATCCTCATACTACTGTGAGCTTGATGTTCTGACATCATGTTAGCAAGTCAGTTTCTATTCCAGATTTTTTTTTCTGTTTGTATCTCTAGTATATGTTTGTGCATGGTAAGAGGTCCCTGTTTCTTTCTTTTGACTGTGAGCGTCTATATCTTATAAATGTACTTTTTTTTCAAATTTTAAGTAAGGTTTAAGTGTGTTTATTTTTTTAAACAAATACACCTTTCAAAGATTCAATGAACTGTTGTAACATGCATTCAAGCTTATAGACCATGTATGGTCACAGGACCTTTTCCTTGCCCACCAAAAAAAAAAAAAATTGTTTAAATTGTTTTTACAAGTGTTTAAAAACTCTGTTGCAATTGGGGCAAAATTGTCTTCAGTATAGTGTCAATATGCTATCTCCCTGCTTTGTAGTAAAGTCCTGAATCGTTGTTTAGAACAACTTAACAAACAGTTCCAAGAGTGCACTTGAAAGTCA